CATTAAAAGTTAAAAATTTTATGAAGTAAAAACAATACATAAGCTGAAAACTATATCATAATTTTTAATTCCTATAGCTACAGACAATCTTTTGAATTCAAGAAGTCCTTATTTATCATTTATGATGTATTAGTTCCCTCAAGTACAATTTTCTGGTTGGACATTTAATATTTTTTGTAATATTTTGTTTGATTAAAAAGGGGTATGGAAATGGAAGAGGAATTTGTTATGAGCCATGTTAACTTATTATTAAGGAATTCTTGTGTCTATGATGCAAGGCCAGGGACATATATCACTGATGTTCAATAAAATCTTACCTCACTCTTGTGTCTCAAGCAACTCTCCAGAAAATCATATACAGGGCTCTCAGCACTAAAATCACATGAAAAGAAAAACAGTTATTCCCTGCTATTAAAACACAAGGGTGCAGAAAGCAAAGAAGTTACTCAGGATATGTGTCAAGATGGCTAGGGGCTGTAGATCTAAAAGGTGGAAATATTTAAGAATGGTCACTTTTAACAAAATACTTACACTTCAGGTTCTTCATCAAGATACTTGGATGCAATGCGTATCTAAAATGCATAATATTATGAACAACAGTTTAATATTTTGTTATCTTCAACACATGCAACAATGTATTTTTCAATCAGCTCGTCTTAAGAAATCTCAATGACATTTAACATTTGAAAATTACTTAATTAGTGGATAGCATGGTAAGATATTGAGAACTTACCAACATGCAAACAGCATAAGGAGATCTAAGAGACTGCTTGATGTACTTGAAAATAAGTTTGGACACAGCTAGTCGATCTGTCTTCTTCACATGATACAGAAGACCAAGAGCGTGGTACTAAGGAATGAAAAAAAAAATTCTTTTCTGGTATGTCATTTTTAGGGCCTGATTGCAGGGCATTCCTAGGATAGAAAAACGTTATGTGATAGATTGTTTAGTGTCTGAAGTGAGGTTACATGGATCTTTGTTCGCTTCTGTTCCTGGAAAGTAAAAATTTTGTTCCTCTCTCTCAACCTCAACTACCGCTCTGTACTTCAGGTTTGGCCTTGAGTGCTACACAAATTCACAATTTCCCCAAACCAAATAAAAACATGAAAGGGTTTATGACAGAATTGTAAATGGGGCTCTGTACTGTGGAACCTATACCAACACACACTACCGTTACTGTAGTACTGCTAGAAAGTAACTTTTCACTTTAAAATATGCACCTCATTTATCTCGAGACAATCTTGTATCTCTCAAGACAATCTTGTATCTCTCGAGACAATCTTGTATCTCTCGAGACTAGATATGTTTCCCACCATGGAGAGAAGCCATTAAAAACTTCAACAATGCGATCATGTTACTTTGTTTTCTGTCCAGCCACAAATATGTAGACACTTACACTGGAAGTTTGCAAGTACAAAACGTCAACTGTCTGTGCACTTAAATCATAGGTTTTAAATATTCTGCGAGATAACACAATACAGCAAAATCTAGGTCTAATTTTCATGACATTCTACAAGGGTTCATTAGTTCGGACAGTTAAACAAACATACAAGTACACATTTAAACATACATCATGTAGGAGTTACAATAAATTCATGCTAACTGTACATAAAGTGGTATCTATCTTATAAAGCAAGTCTTGTCATAAATTAATAGTGGGAGAAATGTAATTCTGTCAGAAATTTCAAAGAGGCTTCGTGAACTCTTGAATACTCAGCTGAATAAATAACCGAGTATTCTGGAATTTTTAAGAAACATCCCGGTGTAAAAATACAAAATTGGGAATAAAATTCTACCATTTGGGCAAGGTTATAAAGTCTTAAAGTTTCTGCAGCTTATTATATTTTCTGTAACAGTGTTATTGTCCCCCCACCCCTCACTTGACATCACATGTATGGGTACATAAGGCCACACAGAAATAACAACANGTCAACGCTCCTAACATAAGCCAATCATATTTTTGCGTTGTGAGAGCAACGCATAATTCAAACTCTTGGGCTTAGGCGGTAGTCCCTCCTTTCATGTGCTCCTTGCCTCTAGGATTTCGCGCGGCTATTTTTTTCTCTCGGTTTTCTTTCGCGTCACACACGACGGACTAGGCAAAAGAGGGACTACTCGTAGTCTACAAAACTTTAGTCGCCCGCACTTGTAACTTAGGCGCCTCAGGCGACCGGGCGCCCATTAGGCAGCAGCCTTGCCCAAAGAGAGTACAAGTGTAAATATGCCTTCAATAACAAAATTAATGGTTTCAAAATTTTCATGGGGATAAACCCGCTCTAAGTATCTTAAAGTACAGGTTTAAAGGAGTTTAAGAAAAATACCTTTCCAGTCATGTCCTTTGTCAAGCTGTGGAACAACAATGAATACAAAAAATTATTACACACACCACGGCAGAGTAACTTACCAAGATTAACCAGTGCACAATAAGAATAAAAGTCCTTGAAAATTGTTGATTTCTTATTATATGCTTTCTTTTGCTCTTCACTTCATATTCAGACTGTGAACAGTCTCTCTTTTCCTCCAAAATCCAAGGGGAAGAACACAAAAACAAGTAAGCATATAAGCTGGACGTGCGAGCGGCAATGCTTTGAACTGCTAGTAGAGCGAGCATTACGCCTGCACTACTGGCGACTCGTCGCATCACCGCTCGCTGCTCACACATCATGCTCACAGTCACACTCGTACGCGTATTTGTTTTGCATTCCTCCCCACAGATTTTCGAGGAAAAGAGAGCCTGCTCGCAGTCTTCTTCTTATTCACTGTATACATTCTGACAAAAATGTGTTCCAATATTAGCCATACAATAGATTAAATTCTCTACTTGCAGGGGTTTGGTTAAGGGCTAGGCAACAGGCACATTGACTGGCTGTAAGGATAATTTTGTCTGCCTGGTTTGACCTTCTAGATGAAAGTTTTTCTTATAAGGAAGTTCAGTTCAAAACGTTTCGCCCGCCTGTGACAACCAGTGGCCTACCTGCTGAAAATGTTAGTGAAATCACTGTACTTGTCATACTAAAGTTGTTGAATAAATATAATTTATCAATTATTTACCTGCTAGTAACAATGATGACATCTTCTGCAATGTTGGCTAATTCTTTAATAGCCAAATACACCATTCTACGAAGCATCACCTACAAGGAATCATTTTCTCATTAAAATGGTGAGACATGTTGAATTGAATTATATGAGTGGAAAAAGTGAATCCACAAGATATTCATGCAGAAATTTATAATTTTGTAAACCACTGAAGCAAATGTCAATTTCACATTTTAGTTCTTGCAAAGTCTTTTGCATTTAGTTCCTGAAAATTCATGTCTCATATGAAAATATTTCAAGCTTACAAATACTTCAAAAATGACAGATTACCACATGATGTTGATTTGAGATTTGAAACACAGCAGTTCTTACAACTATTGCCTTGCTGATGACAAAAAAGTACTGGAGGGATCGTGTTTTTGTGCAATTAGTTAACAACTCTTGGTTATGTGTAATAGAAACCCAACTCACATCTTTAGACTGAAACAGCTTCGTCATTGCAAAAAATGCCTCTGTAGCTTCTGTAGTACCAAGGTGCTGTCCCTGCAATCAAATAAGTTATAATATAATATCAGCATAAAGATTCTCCCTGGTGGTCTCTTATCATTTATTACAGCAGCAGTTGGGAGAATTTGTGACAATGAGAATTACTCCTCGATGTTCATTTTATAAATTCTTATGACTTGTGTTTGAATTACACAGTGATAATTGTGAGAAAAAACGAAAAGACGATCACTATTAGTACTGTTAAAAGTCAGGTAACACACTTGGTAGTCTTTGGATGGTGGTGAAGAAAAGGATTGAAAATATAACAGGCAACAACACAGCAAGAGAAGTGTCTGATAAAATGAAGTATATCCATTTTGCAATCAAAATAATAACTCTCCATTGACTTGACTTCGATTTAAATCAAAATCGCTCCGATAAATTCGTCTTCTTAAAGTTTTTTCCGTCGCCTGACTGCTTGACAGAATCTTGGTATTTGGGTAAAAATTTACCGTGAAATAATGAATATTTTAAGGTTACGTTTTAGCCGCAACCAGTTCATGATCGGCGCGTTCAACTGAACTATCATGTAAAATTTACCATCAAATTCACTCACCTGGTTGAGAACGTACAGAATCTTGGTCAAAATATGAATACATTTCCGTGGATTTATCGGAGTTTCGTTAAATGTGCGAGCCTAGGGAAGGAGAAAAAATTTGTGACGTGTGATTTCTCTTAAAAGAGGGAGAAAAAAAAAAGAATTTAGACAAACTAAAAACCAATAATGCCAAGCTGACCTCTTGGAGAACAGCACTTTTGTCGAGGTTCTGAAATGGGTTCGACTGCGCTCCTAAAACAAGTAAGAATGAAGGATCGTGATTAATTTGTGTACAAAATGCTCGCAGAAATGTATAAAAGCACATAAAGATCATTTACCGTCTTCTTCGTCTTTCTTGTCCCGCCGTAAATACTGCATTTTGCCTATAAAATCACCGAATTCTCGTCAAAATGGTGACACTCAAAATGGAGACGTGGCATAACAAAGCAGGATGGGAAGGTATCGCGGGCTCATAAATGAACGGCGGTGTTGGGGTGTGCGGAGCCTTGGCACCAGGATGCTGCTGGTTTGAACACTGGCCGGAGTTATGATGAATCCTCTCTGATCTTACACTGGGTTGTTTGAAAATCGCTTAACGCTTACGCAGGGTTTAAAGTCAACCGAAGTATCAATTTTGCGTAGTTTGAGATTACTCAAGCTGAGAACTGAAGAACAAAAAAACAAAAACAAAAAAAACGGAAACAGAAAACCTCACCAGAAAACTACAAAACTGAAAACAAAATTCTCGCTAATCCTGGACTAGCTTAGTATAAAATGTTACCTGGAAACAGGAGCCCACGATGACACCTGGCGTTGGACTAGTACCCAGCTCAGGAAGAGCCATACCGCCATACCGATTACTGTTTTATACTGCTGAACTTGAAATACGGTTTGGCTTTATGCGTCAGTTTAGCCCGTCTATAACCTTACCTCTTTACCTTCTTACTACAGTGACCCCGCACAAGTATGCGTTAGATCTTAGTCCAGTGGGCACGGACTCTATAGCTGTCGTTCATTTTCATATCACCAATTTTAGTTAAAAAGGACTATGGGGACGAGAATGACAAATTCGATGTCGCAGATCACACATGTACGAATTGCGGACCTGTTCCTAAAGGTCTTGTCGACACGGAAATTAAGACTACGATAACGCTTGAAAAGAAATGCGGGCCAAAGACATTGACGATAAAAACAGACTACAGTCTAACATGATTAAACCAGACGTCATAGGGACAAGGTGCAACGACCATATTATAAAGGCCGCGTTCGTATTACAGTACAGAGGCAAAGATTGTTTTTATTCTGCGTGAATCGTGCGTAACATAGCAGTGTCCTTTTTGTGGTGGTGTCTGCATGAAGAGATTCGATCTTATCTATCATCTCTGAATCGATCCATATTCAGTTATTCTTTTCTCTCTTATTAACTGATACATTCCTACCAATACTGTGGGAGACGCGCGAGCGGTGGCCTAATGGTTAGCGCGAAGCCGCTGGACTCCGGATCGAGCGGTTTCGGCTCGAGCCCGGGCTAAGGTCGTTTTGTTGTGTCCTTAGCTTGGTTTGAAAGGGTACCCACAGAGTTAACGCTTGGGCTAACTAATGCAGGCCGGCATGGCCTTATGGGCCACTGGGCTTGAACGCAGACAGGAGCCATGCCTTTTATACGGCAGTTATCGTTACTTATAATGCTGCACTCATTTTCCACTATAACACTCTCCATTGGCTTTCATTTTGCTATTCGTTTTCTAAAGTTTAGAGGACTACGTCTAGCCGATGACGTGACCTACAGAAGAGAAAGATCTAGAGACAAGGATAATTAATGTATCGTGGTTTCCGAGGAAAGCAATATTTATACCGTTTTGTCTATGAACGTAATTTGAAATAAAAGATTCCCGCGGTTTTCGTTACTTAAAATCGGTCATTGGAAAAAAGAAAGTGGGGTAAAAACAAGCTTTCTTCTCTATAAACTGTCGTGGTTGATTTCAAAGACCAAAATCGTCATTAACATTAGAACTGGCAGCTTAACGCAGATGCTTTTTGCGTCACCGCTGACTGGTTTGACCTCGATCGTTGGCTCAATGGCGGGACGAGCACTGCTGAATATGGCTCCTTGACTTTTTTGTGAAGTCCAGGATGTCGTCACTGAAGTCCAGGATGTCAGCGCTTTCTCAAATGACATAGAATTCTGTATCATTGAAACTGTCGACGTCATAGTAATCTCGGATGTGTCATCTGGTTTACGTGTCGCGTTGTTTGACACAACAGTCCGCGTGACGTTCACGCGTGTTTCCACGATCCCGAAGTTCGTGGGTGTTACAGACGTTTTACTGTACTGAAATGTCTTGTTATTACACAGATCCCCAGTACAGCATTCAATTGAGCAACTGTTGATGAATCCGTAGAAGTTGTCGCAAATCAATGTTTCCAGAAATGAGCATTTTGCTAAAACGGAGCAGTTTTTTAACACCTCTGTTCGTCTCCCAATAATGGGGTAGTCCATAATTCTTTTCACGGTGTAACACGAGTCATACACTTGCTCTCCGTTACTGGGACACTCAATTTTTGTTGTACTGCTCTCGCATTTTGTGTCGATGAGTCCTTCGCAAGAAAAACACCTTAAAGACCATGCTGGAAAAAGAATCAATGGAAATAGTTAATGGCTTAGCTTCTCACACTGATCTTGACAGCTTCCAGTGGCTTTGTACATGACAGATCAATGGTCGAGAATAGACCGTATTCGTATTCTTGGATTGGAACTAGCTTGCAACTGAGGCTAAATGTAGGGAGCCTTTTCAAATGCAAATGACAGAAATATCTCTTTATGATCTTCCCCCGCATGAGCCTCAATTGCAAGCTAGTTCCAGTCCAATACCGAGAATACGAATATAGCCTATTTGCACAGGATTGGACAGTTGAAAGTAGTTGTCTCAAACATGGGGGCTTAAAGTCCAGAGTGCATGTGTCACTCAAAAGAAACTGGGCATTATCAAATAGAATCAAGGCTTTTAGCTGGTTGGGATATGCTCTCAGTACGAGTTCCAGTGTAAATTACGTTCGAGCTTTACAATGTTATCTGATGTGTAGTAGCCACCTTTAAAAGTCACCGCGCCTAGACAAAAGATAAATTTGATATCAATCAATTATTTCGGTTTAGATATCGTTGCCCATATCCTGCGATACCCGTGCATAAATAATACGAAGCTGGTGTTATGGTTAATTTTGTAGCGTTTGAGTTCTGAACCCTGGTTATATATGCCGGCTAATACTGATGAAGAATTAAATTAATAAAAGATAAATCAAAAAAGGCAAACTGCAGCATCCTTTCAGAAAAAATATGGAGCATATTACAATTGCATGACGTTTTCAAAATGGGTTTCACCTGTTGTGGTTTTCGTTTAAGTAGTGGTAAAATCTTTTTGACTGAGGTGATTTATAAAGAAACCGCCAGCTAAACAACACTTAACATGAAAAAATTTCCTGTTTAATATAAAAACCGTTCGAATTCAGTATCTTTTCACAGTTTATTTTGTTGGATTACTTTTGATCGATCAGGCGTTCAGACTTCAACGACTGGTCCACTGATCATGAGAACACTGCCGCCTGACAAAGGAATATTCGACCGATTAATTCAGGCGCCTTTAGCTTTTAGTCAGTTCTAACCTGATATTACTGATTAGCTTTGCCAAAAAGACGTTCTCGAAAATAACAAACCATACACTCTTGCACAGTTTTATCCAGGTGGAAATTCCTTTTTGGTAGTTGATAGACCAATTAAATATCCATCTTGAGGTGATTACTAGAATTTATAATTTGAGCGATCAAGTGAAATTAAAACTCGCTGAAGATTAGGGCGTCACTCAAAACACAAACTACAGTATATTTTATTTCTTCGTGTTGACTGAAGAATTAAGGTACAAGCCGTAATAAATGGTGTGTTGTGCTCAATAGATTTAAGAGTGCAGCTAATGAAATTCGACATGGTGTATAAGATAAACAGCTACCAGACAAGTCTCTTTTTAAATTATCGCTGAATTAGAACTAGAAGTAAAAAGTGAAGGAAGAAAATAAGTTCGTTCTTCGAGATGTTCGCTGATAAACGTACTTGCGGCTGATTTTTCCTTTTTAACCAGGATGCTGGAATGATTGATGTTTGAATCCAGGAAGAGTGAATTCAGCTTTGATTCTGATGTGCGGGAAATTTGGTTTTTCAAAATATAAAAACAGATCAGAAATTTTACGTTCAAAATTTTGGCTTACGCTGCCAGATGGCATTGCGATATGATACACGTAAATTAGGCGGATCCATCGAGAAATAACCATTCGGCGAGATCGATGATCTTGATATAAAAAACAACCAAGTTAAACGAAGAACTTGACAGAACTGCGTAGTTCCCTTTCAGTGGAAATAGTCGACTCTGTTTTCTTTTTAAACCGTTATTGTTACCAACGGTTGCGAAAGAAGTAGGAAGTTTTGGTACAGGAACAAGATTACGGTCTTATAACACGTAAAACTAATTATAACTGAAGAAAGAGTGTAATCTAAGAGATCCCTTTGTAACAATGGAAATTATTAGAAGGAAATAACTGCTTCGGTAAACACTTATGTCGCTTTCACATGATTGATAAAAATTATATGCAAGATCGCCACGTTCTGTGCCTTTCAGTGTGATTTTTTTTAGGCGCAAACTTTATTTCGAGCAACTTTGAAACTAAAATCGTCTTGACGGTTTTAGCAACAAATAAAGCAGTCAAAAGCGACGTAACAGTCTTCAAAGCTGGCTGACAAACAAGCTTGCCGAGTTTAAGGCCTCTTCAAAATGGAAGCTTAAGTCAAAGTATACCATTATTACATTACACCAAAAAAGCTAACTTTGTTATCAAAAGTTGTGTATTAACCTACGAAAACGCGAGGTTTGTTACAGGAGATGAAATATTGTGCCCGAATTGGCGCTAAGTTTTCGCAAACTAAACTATACAAAGGATAGACTTCATAATTTCTGAGGTTGACTGGGCATGCTTCAAATCCCATATCAGAATAACAAAGCGGTTTGATATCGCGTTGATAATTAGAGACTCAGCTTACCTAAGTTGGATAGCCAAACGCAACAACATAAGCTCACGAAAACGTCCTTCCAAAGTCGTGCCATTGTAGGGTTCCTGTACTAAATTCGTGTTTCAGCGCTTTCAGGCTGTTTTATCAACAAACCGCCCATATGTCAAGAGGGCATGTTTGACGTAACACACTTGATTTTTCATTAAATAAGTCCTAGATTTGAGTTGACATTTGTATAATTACATAATAAGTGAAAAAGGTTTGCTGGTGATTACAAACAGCATTTCATACAATGTGATTCCGGAAGACGTCATGGATTAACGATTGTAATTTCTTACGTAAGGCTCAAGGTATAAAACTAGCGTCTTAATCAAGGCGCGTCAACTGCCAACTAAGTGAAACATCGAAAAATAGGGAAGCTTAATTTTTGTTATGTTTAGTTTTCGCTAAATAAACTGCGGCGTATTTGGTAGCATAGATTTCGGGTAGTTTGGCAATATGAGTTTCACGTCTTTTCATCCAATTATAGTACTTGTCACGAAGGCGCATTGACACTGTTATAGGAAAGTTGGCCTATTCGGCAGTCAGCCGTAATGGCGTCGGAGACCAGAATCCTGGTCGAGGGGAAACTGGAAACATTTTCGTCCCCAGCCTCCCACGGCCAATTAACCGAGGGTCTCCATTGCTAAGTTGTCGACTAGTTTACCGGTACCTATATTCCAAAAGAAGTCTTTTCAGTGCATAGTAATTTTCTTACGGAAATATGTTTGATTTGCAGGACAACAAGAGTGCTTAGCTTGTAAAACTTATCAGTTTCAAAGTGAAATGTTGCGCACCAGGACTTGTCGTAAAACTTGGAAATGGATTATTTTTTGTACCATAAAACCAGCAACTGAGCCGAGGTGATGTCTTCAAGCGAGAAAATGTAGCCTTCTTACCTTTCCCCAACACTGGAATGAGTTTTAAGTTTAGAAGCTTTTAGACTTGTAATTTAATGACAGCTTGCAAACATTACAACTGTCAGTAATTCCACAAACCCCTAAGCAATATTTCTTATATTCTCTTTTACTACCCATTTTACACAACTGTTAGCTTCATTAAAAGCTTTTCATTCGAATTGAACGTCGAATCTTTTTTCCAATGAGTTATAGACACATATCCAAATTTGTTTTCTCAACTAAGATTAATGAAATGTACCATGAACCGGCCGCGGTATACAAACCGAAACTTTTTCAAAGCACCGTTAAAATTTCAATCTCCCTGTTTAATTACATCTCTTGCTAACTTCCCTCATTTTTCTGGTTCTGTTTAATAAATAGACATCTTTTAATAATTATGACATATTTATACCAGCTGGAACGTTCGCTTACCAGCATGAATATTCATATCGAAGGACTAACCTCAACCACTGATCATTTCTACCAAATCACGCGTTCATCTTCAACAAAGTACAAAATCTCGAATACCCCACACTGAAGGACCACACTGAAGCCTCTAATTAGGCTCATTTAGGAAATCCCTCAGAGCCTATGCCTCTCAACCAAACCACTTTTTCAACGATGACAAAAGAACGAAAATCAGCGAAAAACGAAAGACCTGGGATGCTTTCCATTATGCCCAAGATTCCGGAAATTTCGATCGCAAGTCAAGTGGAAGGGCCCGTTTCGGTTCTTTTCGACCGGAATATTCGGGACCCCCTATGGGGGTGGTCCACTGGCTTTGACTGGTCGGACCGGTCCGACCTAAATTTGCCGTTCCATGCAGTTTTTGGTAAGCCGGTTCATTGCCCTTCTTCTCTGCACTTATGTAGGGAATTCGGAAAAAGGAAAAAAAAAATGGGTAGAGCCATTCCTCTTAGTCATTCCATTACCTCGGGTATTCCCACTGGTCTAGCTTTGCGAACCTATTCCCAGACCCTCTCCTAACTACGTCACTACCCCTACGTCATTTTTGGCGTCAACCGCGCGAATCTGCGAAAATCTTCACTGATGGTTCGAAACATCATCGAAAATAAGCTAAAAACTAGCAGGTCAGTATATATTATTACATTTTACATTGATTATTGAACACAGTTTATTCTTATCTTATTTACTCAGGGCATTTCAACCAACGTTCGCTTTTTTTACCCTTCAAACCCAAACCTATTTTTACGTGTAGGACATGTAGTACGCTAGCATTTATCCGTTCGATTTCATTAATGTTACAAATAAAGCGCTTCTAAAGATTTTCCTTTTTTCAATTTGTTTGCCCTCGTTTGGCTTACTTTACTTTCTTTCACTAACATAGTCTCAGCGGGAGTCTCAAGATAAAAGTTAGAACAGGTTAGAAGCATGTGGCGCAGTTGTGCAATGTCCCCCTCCCNCCCCCCCCCCACCGATTCATTGCTACTAGGAGCGTAGGCTTTTGTACATTATGCTTTTATTTTCCCACTAAATTGCTCCACCTTAATGCTCCATTTTTCCCACTAAAATACTCGGTCTTCCCAAAAAGTCACTAAAATGCTCGGTTAATGCTCATACGTAGGGTTTCTTAAATTTTAATAATTTTAACGTTTTAACACAGTTAACAGCTCAAGGTGCTTAAAAAAAAACATATATGTAGTATAACGCAACGTTTTCAATAGTTTTAATACACCAAAAGATAATTCTCTGAATGATCTTTTAATTTGATTTAACTGCTGCTGACCTCTCCTCAGTCTCCACTCAGCTGTATTAGGGTGGCATTTTGAATTTTTTTCAATTTCAAATTAAGTCCTCATTTTGTTGTAAAAATAATTTTTATTTATTTTCTGGATGTGGAAAACAATTAATTTTCCAAGAAAATGCCACTAAAATGCTTGAATAATGCTTGATGCTTTTGCCTCACTAAAATGCTCGAAAAATGCCAGCATAATGTACAAAAGCCTATAGGAGCTTTGGTGTTGATGCATCCTTCTTCCAATCACTTGGCCGGAGGTCACGGATACTCCTTGTTATGTCTCTCTCTCTTTCTTTAACTCTTTCATGTTTTTGTTTGCTCTATAATTTAGAGAAAAAACAGCACTACAAAACCAAATATTAACAAAATTATGCACTTATTTATTTCATTATTCTTTCCTATACCTGTAACTATTTTATTTTATGCCTGTTCCAAAACCTGAAACTAACCCGTAGGAAACTGTTAACACCTTCACAAAGTCTAAAATTACCCCAGAGACACTGCTTAGAAGCCTTTTTGACTCCACCCCCTCCCCCCAAAAAATAACTAAGTATCCCAAGAAGATTCTCAAAAACCTTAAACTAACCTCAAGGAAACTAATCGTTTCTTTCCAAGAGTCAAAAACCATCCACAACGACACTGTTTGTCACCCCAAAACACCAAGAATTAATCAGGGAAACCTTTTGCCCTTCCCCAATCACAAAAACACCCAGTGACTCAAGGAAACCTTTTCCTCTGCCCCAGACCTTGTCTTTCTCAAAGACCTTATTTTAACCTCAAGGAAACTGTTTGTCCTCCTGTAAAACCTAAAACTAACCCCAAGGGGCCTTTTCCTTTCCTCGACCCTATAACTAACCCCAAGGACACTTTTTGTCCTTTAATGGCCCCAATTACTCCTTCCTCAAGATGAAAAACTAACCCCAAAGACACTGCCTCCCCTGGGATAAAACATTAAGACCTAACTCCAGGGAGCTATAAGAACCAGAGGTGGAGGTCACTGCATTGCAGTTTTGTTCCTTTGTTCCCTCAAACACCTATAATGCCACAAAGGTTGCTAGGGAATCTACTGATTATTTAATTACACATATTTCTTTTCTCAAAAATTATAGAAATTATTTTTTATTTGAAGGACCTTTTATCAGCCTCATAAAAACCACATGCAGTATAGTCTTGGTTCAACTGCTCGCAGCATCCCTATCATTTCTCAAGTTGGCAAATTATGGAAGCTTCATCTTTCCTTCTTGCTGCTCTGCTGACTCTGTATGTGATGCCAACAGGTGAGTTCTCAAGGTTATTAGATTAAAATGTTTGATCGCTAAAAATCAATTACACTGCAATTAATAGTTGTATCGATTGCAAAAGGGGTCTGTAAGGCTTTTCAATGTTGTAGCTTACCTGCCTGGTAAATAAAGATCTTTGGCAGGGCTGTGCTCTAGTTCTTAAGTGCCTGGGTGACACAGGTGACTAACATTTGCCTTTGGGCAACTAGAAAAACTTACTTTTTTCAAGACACATAAGCTCAAGTGCTGGACATCCAGGATTCCAGTTGGTTATGGACCTTGGGCTCTTCATAATTTTTCTTAGACCACTGTCAGCCCAATATTATGTTCAAGGATCTTTTCGAGAATCTTTACAAGGTCTTTGAACATTCTTTCCAAGATCCTCAAAGATCCTTAATATTCTTGCCAGGATCTGTAAGGATCTTCCAGTATCTATAATGCAGGATCTTCAAGGATCTTTGAAGATCTTGGAGGATCCTTGCAAATTCAAATTCCTAGAAAAAGCGAATTTTCTACTACCCAAAAACATGGATTGAAGACCATGGAAGCTCTAATGTGTAGCTCTAGAAAATATCCATACTCCCCCATGGAAGGGATTTTTTATAAGACTCCCCCACCCCTCTGGAAATTCCAATTAAGCTTCACACATTTGTTTACATTTTTTTGTCGTACAGAACCCCCTCACCCCCAGGAAATTCAAATCCCTTCTGTGGGCAGAGTAATTGGATATTAAATTCTGGAACTGCACAACAGGACCTCTGGGATGCAGTGGAATGAAAATTGATGTTATTCTATATCAACCTCTTCTCTTTGTGGCATTTTATTTTTCTTGTCCAACAGTTTGATTTTTACAGTGGCCCTAAAGTTGTTTCATCTATAGCTAGTAATATCAGAAAGAACAAAGCATGATGACAGTTGACATTGCAAAATGTTACATTTTGTGATGTCTTCCATGAACAAAAATCCTAGCGTAACAAAACCCCTGGGGTTGTGCGACCTTGGCACCTTTTTTGGCGATGGCAATTTTGTAACTTTTTTTTTTGTCTGGAAATTTGGTAATTTTTTTTTTCTGAACTATGAAACTGATTATAGGGCAGGGCTGAAATAGGGCAGAAAATTTTTGGTCAAATCTGATTTTCATTGGGATAGTGAAAATTGCAACCTTTGGTCTGACAAAAGGGTAATAGACCACATGACCCCACGCAATTTTTTTTCTGGGAGTAACCACCTGGATACGAACTAGTTTACTTTTGCATTATTGACATTTTTGACGTTTTAAGAGGATGCAATAATTTAGGTTTTATCAATTTTGCATCCTGCCACTAATTTTAGTTAAATCCTGCCGTCCCACCCAACTCAGAATGTTTATCATCACACATCCAGCCTTCAATTTAAAAACTTAGGGTTCACATGTCTAACCTGCCAAAATGAGCAATTCTGCTCCCACCAAAGTATTTTTATAACATAACTAAAGCAAAGCGCGCGCTCTGAATGGTTAATTTAGCGTCTACTATTTGCCCATGGGTGTACGCTGCTGACATGTGTGCTAATGTTTACAAAGCAAATCTTTTGACAGACATTGTTTCCAAAGTAATTATGGCTGACATCCTTCTCCCAGAAATGCGAAATTGTCTTCACAGTTGTCTGAAGATGAAACTTTATCGAGTTACTGGTGTACAGTCGGTTGTCATGAATGAATTTTTGCGCACTTGTTTTCTCTTGTCATATAAGACTACACGAACATTTTTTTGTGATGTAGCTCAATAAAAGGACTTCTGTTGTTCCAATGTCTCAATGTTATGTTATAAAACAAATGGTAAACGCCATAGCGTGCACTATTGAATTATGGATGCACTTGGGAGGTTTGCTAAGCACTCAAGAAGCTAGGGTTGCACTCGGCTATCGCCTTGTGTGACTCTTACGCCTCTTTTGTGCTTAGCAACCTCCCACATGCATCCCTCACTCAATAGTGCACGCTATGGCGTTTACCATTTGTTGATTATCCTGCACCCGCCATTAAAATTTTTGTCGATCCACATCCTATTTGCTTGAATTGACAGCTCTGGCCACCATCAAATGCTATGAATGTGATAACACTCCTGAACACCCAAATCCAAGCTCATGCAACAGGGAGCATGTCAAGAACATTACTTGCGATAAACCATTCTTTGATAGATGTATGACCATGACAGGCACTGTGACTGTCCCTGGTAATGGATCGTTGGACTTCAAGATAAAAAACTGCACTAGCAGCTTTATCTGCCTTCTGGCTGGCGTGGGCAGTAAGTAAAACTATTGTAAGGCTGTATTATTATATATATTATCATTATCATTATCATTATCATTGTCATTATCATTATCATCATTATCATTATCATTATCATTATTATTATTATTATTATTTTTAAAGTAAAAGTGGTATCAGGAACAGCAACAAACAAAAACCAGTGTAACTTAAATGGGACTTTTGAATTCAAGTACAGTGACTTGAGATTTTCAGCCTAACCTTGCCTGTCTCTGCTACAAAGATTTACAAGTCCTGATGGAAATTAAAACTTCATTTGCTTTGTATCTTTACGTCATCCAAAATCTTCAATTCCAACCCAGCTTTTTTGAAGAAAAGCTATAGTTATTTACAGCAATGACCAGGTGCTATGCACCTTGTTGGCTATCTATCATCCTCTATCCAATGTGCACTCAAGAAATAAATGTTAATTATCATTATTATCATTTTATCATATCATTATCATTATCATTATCATTATTATTGTCATTGTCGTTGTCATTGTTATTTTTATTCTATATTGTCATTTTCATTTTCATTAATATTGTTGTCGCTGTTAATAACAATGACATTTTCTTTACAGTGTGCGAACTTTTAAATGGCACCACTGGAATGATGTCCAAATGCAAAATCGACTGCTGTGATGGTGATTTTTGCAATACAGACAATGCAGCTGTCCGTATCTCTGGTTTAGTAACAAGTTTTGTTGTCATTTTGCTGACTTTGTTCCTGAATGTGTTTCCAGGAGCTTAGTGGAGTGTACGAATGTCACATCACGTACTTTGTTTTGTTTCTAGTCTAAACTGAATACCAGGCCGTTGAAAGGCCAGAAAAGGAGTTTTTCACTTTTTTCATAATAATTTAAACAGTTATAACTGAATAAATGTTTCAAAATAGTCATTTCCTTTTGATTTTTCAATACAGTTGTATCAATGTTCTTGTGTGGAAAACCAGCAGCGAGTTAGTGGATTGTACAAAAAAAAATTAATAATAACAATAAAAAAAAAAAATAATAAAATTAAAAAAAAAAAGAGAAAGAAAGAAAACACCTAACTTACCATATGTTATTTAATACTCCTTTTATACCATGCAATTCCCGGGGGAAGGGATTAGCAATAATGCGTACGTTTCAAGGTATAAAACTAATGTCTAACGTACTTAATGAAAATAAGACGCGGCACTGAAACCCCAGGGGTGGGGAACTCCCATATGAAAAGGCGGGGGTGCTCGCCGGAAATTTTGAAAAGAATCCCGAAAAATGGGGTATCAATTCAGTGGTATCATTTTCATAATTTTTAATAACCATAAAGACGATTATAAATGAAACAAAATTTAAATCAGTTGATTGTTAAATATCTTCTTACATATTTTTTCGGCTCAATACCCTAAAGAAAATAGAATTTGAAATAGAAATTTAAAGTAAAAAAAAAAACGAAACAAATAGAATAATGATTCAAATAGAAATTTGAAATAAGTCGCGGAAGAAAAACACTGCCTGAGCGTGACAGTTTCAGTGAAAGCCGCTTTCAAAGCGGTGACGATGGATCGAACTATACACCCTCCTTTTGTTCTTTACCAAAGTCTTTAATTTGGAAACACTTGTTCAAATTCAAACACGAAAGATCAGTACAGTTTGAAAGCCATTCAGTTTTTCACAGTGCTCACGCAAATATCGCCCCTCTCGCGAAATACCCTGGTCTGCGGAATTACCACCGAAAAAACATTTACGACCTAGCGACTGACACCGGTGTTCTTATTACTGTTGATTTTCGTTTGTGTAAACATCAATTGCGCGGCCGAGAGTCTTATTTGACCCTGTGATCCGGCATAGTGGTTTAGGTCAGTGACGGAGTTGAGTCACTGTGAGCTACCGTGATAGATAGCTTGCTACGCAGGCTAGCTTGTGCTCCAACGTGAGCCTGCTCGCAGGCTAGCCAGTAGGGGACAAACAATGTCTGAACAATGACTTACAACCCCCTGCTGCCTGGCATAGGGAGCTGTCACTCGTTTTTCAGGGGACGGTAACATGAGAGACCCTGGGAACGAGGTTGCCACACCCACAGTTTACAGTGTTGGTGTGATTGTCGTGACTGTTGGCATTGTTCGAAGCGCTGATCATACTGTTTTGTTTTCAACTTGCCGAATCATGGAAACTTCATCTTTTCTTATTGTTGGCCTACTGGCTCTGTATATGATGCCAACTGGTGAGTTGACTCAGCTTAATTTGCTAGATGAAAATGTTTGATTACTGAAAATCGCTCGAGCGCGCGGCGATTGACATTCGATTACGCAAGGGGTGTGGATCGAAGGCTTTTCAATGTTGTAGCCCGCTAGAACGATTAATCGAACTAAGAATCGATATACCAAAACTATCTTTCGAATCCCTTGGTCGATCTAGCAACCATGTATGCGTAAACGTAAATGGTAAACAAGCCCTAATTTCCGTCCGTCAAATAAATCGTTCACTGTATTGATGTTGTTTCGTTTACGAAGCTTTCAGTCTTATATGTCCTTTAATTTCATGGATATGCTCTCGCCTTCGCTTCGTGCTCTATATACTTAGAATAGCACTTAATGTTTATCAAAGAACAAAACGTAAGCTCTACGCCGAGAAAGAAACACTGTGGAATCGGATGAGAAATATAATGAAGAAAGCACGCTGTGGTAATCCAGCGTATTGCCAGGAAGAATCACGGTCGTTTCGCTCCCTGGTTAGAATCATCGCTCCAAGTCAGTTCGCTCCAGCAAAAGTTAGATCGCTCCACACAGGCCGAGTTCGCTACCTCAGTTAACCAAGTTTGGCCTGAAAGTGGACGAAAGAACGAGGAATAATGTATATGGGCGTTGGAGCGAACTGACTTGGAGAGAAGTGATCGGATACTGCCATAAATACACCCGAGCGGTAGGAAGTTTCGTCGATACAATAATGACTTGATTGGGCGACCAGCTCAGAAAACGAAGTCTGTATACAATTACCTATTTGTCTTCTACTCTTGTAGACGAAAGAATTCACCTTGTAGCCGATTTCCGAACTCATGAGGTCTAATCATTTTCTGGCAAATAAATTATATGGTAATTTTGCAATGTGAACCCTTCTTTGAAAGGTGGCAACTTTTTGATGTTTTTTTATGTTGGGTCATAGTTAGTGGAGGTGTATTACTTTCGTTGCGATATTGACAGGAAAAAGAAAGCTCCAAAAGTCCTCTTCGGAAAAAAAGGTTCACATTGAATATAAATATACTAATAATATACCGTGAATATAAATGACCGTCTGTATAAATACAAACGACCTTTGAACGAGCCTTTGAGCATAATTTTGGCAAACGGGTATGACCTTTTGGACCTTCTATATTATAGCTCGGTTTTGCTTATGATTACACAAATGTTGAATTGACAATTTGGACACGGTGTTCGTAATTCGTGTCGAGTTTTCGTTGATATTTGGGTTGCTTCTTGAAACTGAACTATGGAACGTGACTGAGACGTCGGACCTATTATTCTTCAACACAAAAGACCAGACAAGACCAGACTTTTGTCAAGTTTTCGCGTCGCCTCCCTCTTTTACGCTTGCCACCCATGAACATCCAAAATAACAATTCGGAGCAGATTTTTCCCACGGCCACTTAGCTTTCAGACAGTTAATTATAGACCAAGGAAAATGGTGATGAAACCTGCGAACTTTAGTAGCTTCGATCTATTGAACGAACAAATGCGCCACATTCTTTTGTTTTGCGCACATAATATGAATTACTTGACAGAAGGAAATCACTTTAGGAAAGCTAAAACGATTATTATTTAGAGATCCAAATAAATAAATAAATAAATAGATAGATAGATAGATAGATAGATAGATAGATAGATAGATAGATAGATAGATAGATAGATAGATAGATAGATAGATAGATAAAATAAATCAAATCACTTTATTTAAGTGTCGAAGTGTTTAGCACTGCTGTACTAATTGGGGACACTGAAAATAAGCATATAAATATTTTTAATCGAACAGAAACTTGTTAAAAATCCCAACTGTCGGGAGGCTGACCCATTTACAAAGCGTGCAGGAGTTGAATTTGGGACTACCAAGCAAAAGATCCATCTAGTGGCAGGGTGGAGGATTTGAACCCGGGACCTCATAATTCCAGCGCCCTAGCCACTAGGCCACGCCACCTAGATCCATATTATGAGATAAAGATGTTCTCAGTAACATTAACGTTACATCTGAACAGAGTAATCTACTGCTTTCGAAATAAAGGACAGGAAAAAAAANGTAAAATTACAAAGGATTATACTGGTTGAGCTTGTAGAATGTGTCCGTTGACCGTATCAACGAGGTTTGCGTATAAGAAAATTTATGGGCGTTTCGCGGGGACAGAAAAAGTTGCCGTAATAACGGGGTGACCGTAATAACGGGGTGACCGCATAAACGGGGTGGCCGTAATAACGGAGTGGCCGTAATAACGGGGTGGTCGTAATAACGGGGTGACCGTAATTACGAGGTGACTGTAAAGCGTAGGCTCGATTTGCAGCAGTTTTGTGAGCCCGCGGTCCTTGCCCCACATCCTCGTTGGGAGGAGAATAAACAACCGCACTCGCAAAACGCCTGGAAATCGAGCCTACGTAAGGTGGGGTTCCACTGTACTCCATACAATGACGTTGGAACATGAGGTCGGAACATGAGGTCGTGAAAAGCCCAAACACGCGAGCAAAACGAGAGCCAGCTTGCAGGCTAGATGATCTTCGCGATCATAGATTAAACGGACGAAGCCTCATTATCAGCCAGACAGACCTTCCCAAGGGGAAGGGAGAAGGGTCGAGGAGAGAAGTGGAGAAAAGCATGGCACAAAAGGATCCTTGCGCTGAACGTCCAAAATCTGAATGCTGCGCTGATTGGATAACACATAAAAAATAAAAATACTACTACCAATAAAAAGACTCTCTCCCTTTTCCCTTGGCTTCTCCCTTTACTTTATGATAATAATAATTATAATATTTATACTGGGTAACCACTTCAGTTATAAAACTGACATCACTGTGGGCCCTGTTAAATAAACCAAAGATGAAATGAATACATGAAAAGAAAGAATGGGGGAAATTTAAAAATTCTTGCAAAAAATGGTAAAAATTAAAGAGTTAAAAATAATTGCATCCTTGTAATAAAACGTACGTTTTGCAACTTAAAAAATATTGATGCTACCTCTAGTATAATAAGAATGCATGCCACTTCGTATTGTATCAAAATAGTTCTTCAATTAATCTGGGACATGTCCCTTCGAGCATTTATTGACAAGTTCTTTTATATGCTCCTCACGTCTCTCAGAGAGCGGCTTCCATCCTAATCGATCCATAACGGTATCACTTGTCTGCAATTCCATTTCAATTCGGGCAGCTCTCCTTTCGAAAGCCCAATTCCGAAGCAATTTTGAAAGCGTTGGTGTCCGTGTTACAAAGTAAACAGATCCGATTTTATTAGTGTAAAGAACAGGATTGATGTTTTATCTGCTTGAATTGACAGCTTTGACTCTGGAATGCTATGACTGTACAGACATTCCCGGATACTCAGGTGTAGGTAAATGCAACGATGAGAACATCAGAAGCATCACTTGTGATACGTTCTTGGACAGATGTATGACGATCAAGGGAACAATGGCAGTCCCTAATGCTGGATCATTGGACTTCCAGTTGAAAAATTGCTCCAGCAGCATTGTGTGTAGCCCGGACAGTCCATACAATAGTAAGTAAAATTAATGTGAAGGCTGTAATGTGTGGCTGCATTCACCCTTGGCGCGTAGACACTGGTGCGTAGTTACCAACACAAAATAATGTTTCCCTCAGACACCGGTTACTCCAAAGACCCAAGTACCATCTATAGACGATCCGGTCACATGGTACGGAATTAATTATGCTGGGACGCAAGTTGCGCAGTGGGACTTCCAAAACAAAAGAACTTGTACCAGTCCAGCCCGACTTTCCTTTGTTTTGGAAGTCCCACTGCGTAACTTGCGTCCCAGCGTAATTAATTCCGTACCATGTGACCGGATC